AAAATCTTCCTCTTACCATGAAGCACCAAATTTGAATATTCTAATTCAATAACCTTTCTTTGATCAGATACTTCAGTGAAAGATTCCAAATTTAAAAAAAAAATAAAAATACTTGGGCTTTTATTTCCTGAAGTAGTTTTCTCCCCAGTCTAGAGAACAAGAAATGCTACAACTGATCTACCAACTCTGACCACAACATTGTTTTTCCATATCTTTACACTCAGTTTTTAGTCAGCTCAGATTCAAATATCAGCTCTGCACACTGGTCATCAATATTTTCTGGATAGATGATAGCCAAACGAGGGCTCCACTCTCCTGGATAATGTCCATGGGAAAGAGCAACATCCCACACTGCCTGGACTGGAGAGCTGGGAATCCCCACCAGAACCGTGCTCTTGGACTTTGCTCAAAGGTCATATGTGGCCACCAGCCAGACAAGCAGTGCACGATCAGTTTTGCAGCCCAGAATTTCTTAAGGCCCCCAAAGAAGGCATTCACACAGTCACTCCAGTAACTGCTTTCCACCCTTCCCTTCCCAGGCATCCATACAGCTGATCCGATTCCTGCTCATTTCACTGCTAACTAAGGGAATCTGAACGACGTGACATCTGTGCCTTTGTTTCAGGCAGGACTCACAGAAAAGCCTGTTAAGTTCTCATGCACGTGACAGGTAAAAGCCTTTTCTAAAATAGTATCAACCTCCACAAAGTCTAGGCCTTTGTACTGCCTGCATTTAAACTCCAGCAAGAGCTCTGGCTGCGGGAAGCATCCCTGCACTTCCTAAGGACCCCACTGACGTCAGTTCGATCCCGGAGTAACGCCAGCCCGCACACAACGGGCTCGGCATCCCAGAACCTCACCCAGAACCTCACCCGACTCCAGCTCTGCCACGGCTTTAAGCGACACTGATGGTCAGGAGAATATCACCCCCGACAGGGCCTGAATCACCCCACCTTGGGCCGTATCCATTAAAGGAACCGACAAGACACCTGCAAATAGCCCGGTTTACAGCTGGTATTCAACAAATATACGGCTAAAGCCTAAAAGGCAAAACCGTGAGCATTTTTGTTTGATAAGAAAACAAAAGTTAATCATAACAGAAATCTATGAATACACCGGAGTGCATTTTAATCCACCAACTGTGATGGTACACATGTATACTACCAAAAAAAAAAAAATCCAAGTTAAAGACAAAACAATTAAAGTAGATAGCCACAGTTTCTGCATAATGTAAACAAACATGTGCTTTAACTACATTTCATTTTCGAAAGCAGTTTCTCTAAGAAGTAAGACAATCAGGACATTTTTAAGCTTCAAGTTTCAAACTGATGTGAAACCCATTTGTCTGCAGTGGAACAGAACAAAACCATTTACAAAGTCTTCTGAGATACAAAATCCAAGGAAAAAACCACAAGCAACATAAAATTAAAATTGCTTTTTATACCTTCTAATGTTCTTTTAGTGGATAAAATCATTTTAGTACCTGCATGCAGGCAGGTCAATATATAGCTACACAGAAGATGTAATGGTAATTCACATTAACCTGAATAGTGAAGGAAATGCCAAAAACAGGGCTTTTACAACTAAAAAAGGACAAAATAAAGCAGTAAGTTGCTTGGCATTCTTAGTTCTGGTATGGGGCAGAAGCTCTATTCAGCCCTCAGAAGCTGCATTCATACCATATATTTGCATTGGCACCATAAAACATGAGTAAAATATCAAGAGCTACATAATAAATTTCACACCTTGTTCTCAGAGTAGTTCATATTTCTGAATAATTTTTTCATGGCTCTAGTTAAAAGTGATTTTACAGCCTTAGTTCAAAGGGATCTCTGGTAAGCTAAGAGAGGAAACAACATCATGCACCATCTTGTCTAGCACTCCGACTACTCTAAGTGTAATGCCAAGAATCTACAAGTTTTACTATGGGACACCAAACCCCAAAATATTTAATATCAACAAACTGCTACAGACATGAATATGCACCACAGAAAATAGCCCTGCAGAACAGCCTGTTGAGTTAAACACTGCATAACAATGTCATGAAGTACAATAACATTACAGAAGACAGCGTCAGACATGGAATTCTTGTAATACTGAATTTTACAACTTCCTGTCAGCTGAGGTTTACAGTAAGAAATCATGTATTTATCAGCATAAAAATATTCTTCAGAGAACACAAACTGGATAGTATGATAGATAATGTAAACAGAGACAATGTTAGCATTTGGCTCTGGATACAGATATGGATACTCACAAACTTGCCTGGAGTACCACACGTAGCCCTAAATTTCTTAAATTATTCAGAATAGTACAGGTAGTAGCTCTTCTCTTCGGAGAAGATGGCTGAGAGTAAAATGGACCAGCTTACTGCTCTGCCTTTATTTGTGGGCACAGCACTTGTCCTCCTGATGAGGTGAAGCAGGAACACCCTACGAGGGAAGTTGAAGAAGACCACTTCCACAGGAGCTGCTCAGCCAGCTCAAAAGAGCGGGTGAAAGAGGCAGACTGCTCTCAGCAATCGCAGCCACTCTGCCGGGGTGTCCCTGAGCGCAGAACAGAAACACTGCCCAAGTTGCCTAAAAGGCCAGAGTGAGCCCACCAGGCTGTGTGGTGTCTATTCCAGATGCTGGACACAGACGGTTCTAAGGCAGGAAACCTCTGTCCTGAAGGCACTGGCCATTTGGACACTGGTGAGACCAAGTGAGAGCCAGCAGTGCTCCAACTGGCACTGCTGCAGAGGCAAGGACAAGCCAGGCCCCAAACATTTACTGTGCTGGACAAGTTACCTGGCCCCAGGAACCAGGCACAGCCACTGGAAGGACGAGCCAGAGCAGTAGTGCACATGGGCAGGACAATGGGATATCTCTGGATCTCTGTGGAGAAGTCTCCCTACCTTTTCCCTAACCAAGCAGAGGATTTTGACATACCACAAGTACAGGTACAGAATCCTGTGCCCAAGCACTAGAAACAATCCTGTATTTACTACTTCTACAAGCTGCAGCCTGTCATTTAGTTCCACTTCAGTGTCTATGTCATCCTTTCACCTGGGTGTTGGGAGTCAACAAGCACAACCTGAACACAGTTGTTTGTGCAGGGCCGAACAACTCTGCTCGGGGCCATGACAGAGTACCCACCTTCTCCCTCCAGTCTGATAAATACCAATCTATAGAATTGCTACACAGAATATGGCTGCTGGTTCTTCAGTTTAGTGTTTCCAAGAAGACCAAGCACGAGAGAGGATTCTGCTGTTTCTCACAAAAAGCTATTCTCAGAATAACGTCCCTTACTATTTCTGTAACTTGGCCACTTGCTACAGCATTGTTCAATTTAAATTTCTAACCACGGAGCCAGCCAATAAAATATGCATGTACAAGACATCAACTGTGTATTTACTTTGCATACATACACTGGATCACAGCTCTAGGTGATTTTTATGGAAAAAAATCTTCATAAAAAGTTGTGTAACATTACTGTGTAAGTGCTATTTGAGACAGTCCCAGACCTGCAGAATTACAATAAGACACCTTTACAGGCTGAAGTTTACCCAGGCTTCAGTCTTAAGCTCTCATAAAAAATGCAAGTGAATATCTACATCAAAATATTCAATTAAAAATTATACTAGTAACATAGTGACAAGTTTATTAGAGGTCTACACACCACTAATTTAAATGCTGGCTAACCAAATTTTTATGCCAAGGTAACTCCATCAATTAAAGGTGACACTGTAATTTTTTTAATATGTTTTTAACACAACTTGACAGAATAGTATTAACAGCAGGTATAAGATATCCTTATACCAGTAAGTGTACACCAGTAGATGTTAAGACTCCCTCCTACACCGTTCCTAAGACAATACTGCTGCTATAGAAAAGTACTAATTTAAACTGTACAGGTGCAGCTAAAGCTGTACAACGTTTGTATACAGGGAAAGCTTAGAACTACAACTATAAACTTGTTCCATCTGGTGCATAAGACACTATGAAGAAACCAATATGGACCCCTCTTATTTAAAGCAAAAGAATGTATTTTTCTTTTGTTTAGGCAAACAAAAACAGCAAATTTTGTTCCAACCACTGCGGTTTCCCTCTAGAAGAGAGAAGGGAGAAAGTCAGTTGATTTGGGAGTCCACAGCAAATCCTCAGCTATATCGAAAGCAATATCACAGAGAAAATGCAAGAGAGGCCTTTACAAGGTCCCAAGACCTTCACCAGGAGGACCTTTGCAAAGTCCTCATTTACAACCCTTCTATGAATAGGAGCCTCCTCAAAACATAAGAACAATTATCCAGAAATTCTCCAACATAACCCCAGCTTAAGGAGCATCAACACACCCAAGTTTTCCCCGCGAACTGACAGCACTTAATGGGCTCTGAGCCGCCCGAAATCCTGAGGAAAACCCCAGGCAGCCCCCGGCTCCCGGCAGCTCCCTGTTCTCCCTCCCAGCGCTGCCGCGGGCACAGGGCAGGCTCAGGGCACACACCGGGCTGCCCCCAGCTCGGCTCCCCCGCGCCGTCCCGCCCGGCGGTGCTGAGCCCTCGCACCAGGTGCCAGCGCGCCCCTCCCGCCGTGCGGGGCCTCCGGAGGCCTGGGCGGGATCCCGGCGCCCCCCGCTTAGGCCCCTGCCCAGAGCAGCCCCCGCCGCGCTCCCCGCGGCCCCGGCCCGCGCCCCGCGCGCCCTCCCCGCCCTGTCCGGCGGGAGGACGAGGAACCCCCGACCCGGCACATCGGGACGGGCTGCGGAGCCCCCGCACCGGCGCCTCGGCCGCTCCCGGGCACCCAGCGCGCCACGAGCAGGCCCCGCTGCCCTCGGCCGGCCCCGAGGCGCCGCGCCGGGCCGGGAGGGGCCCCGGGCGGGCGCTCACCATGGTGGGGGCTGTGCGGGCCTCTCCCCTCCCGGCTCGGGCGGACTCTGAGGGCGGCGGCGGCGGCGGCGCTTCCTCCGGCGGCGGCGGCTCCGGCTCCTCACGGGCCCTTCCGCCGCCTTCCCCCGCTCATGCGCAGTGCGGGGCCGCGAGCCCTGGCGGGGCCGGCCCGTCCCGCTGTCCCCGGAGCGCCGGGAGCGGACGGTGCGCGCTCGGAGCTGAGGTGGGGGCACCGCACGGGGGGGGCTCGGCCCGAGAGGGGAAGGGGGGGGGGAAGGAGAGAGTTCTCCCCGGCCTCCTGGGGATGTCGGGGGTGGGCTCGGAGGGGGAAGTCGGGGGTAGGGGATCCCAGCGGCTCCTCACACCGGGACCGGGTGTTCTGTCGGGAAAGCTCCCTGTATGTTCTTATTTCTTCAATAGCAAAAGTTAAGGGCCAGGTGTGAGCGCCTGTGCCGGCCCCGCCGGGCTCCAGGGGCGTGGCCGCTGTTCCCGGGGGCCTGGACTTGGAAAGGGGCGCGATGGGAAAATCCCTCGGTTTTTCCAGGATGGATTCGCGAGGGAGGCAGAAGACGTTTGCGGAGCAGCCACGGAGACCTGGGGAAGGCGGGGGTCTCGCAGCAGCAGCTTTACAGGCATCTTCGTTCGGGAGCACCTCCACACCTGTAAGATTTCCCTGATCTCCCTGCTCCTGGCTGGGATCCCCTTTGGGGGCTGTGGACAGAAGTAGCCCTTCTGCAGTAAAACAGATGTACTGTCAAAAGAGGCTGCAGTGGTTAAATCACAGTTTGTACCAGTATCCCAGACAGTTGTTTGTTTCCCAGGAAAGCTTACTCTACCTACCGCAGGCTTTTGGCAGCTGAAGAAGTTTGTGGAAGCAGAATATTTGCTGATAAAACTCACAGCGGTGGCAAACTGCTGTTGTGAAGGACAAAGGTTTGAGATCTGATCTTATTCTCTCATCTCCTGCTGAGCTGGGAGCTGTTAAAGTAAGCTTCTGTATTTATATTACATGACTGGTATGACTGCACACACTAGAAGGAAATTAAGACTTCAAAAAGACATTCCTCATCATAGATGTTCAGGGTTTATATGTCTATTTTTATAGAAAAGGGTCTAATTTGCTGCTTGCTTACTTTGCTAAAAATCAAAGAAGAACTTAGATGGAGTGTGAGGAGTTAAATCATGTTTGGTGAGGAAAATCAGGCCTGTCCTGTGAAGTGTCCAGTTGTGCTACTGTTCTGAACAGGAAAATTAAAAGTTGTCTGGATATTAAACATATGTGTGAATTCAGCTATCCTGAGAGACTGTAGTTGCCTGCATACCTTGAACCCTCCCAAAAAGCATGTTTTTGAAATTGAGGATGGTTGCAGAGTGGCCTGTGTGAACAGCCACGAACACTTGCACACCAGCCCAGTCCACGTGAACCACGGCAGGGGAGACAAAGCCAAACCTGAAAATCTATCTCATCAAGTTACCTAATTGCCATCCCTCTGATGTGCTGTGACAGCCCACCTGTGATCTGGAGACACAATCTGGAAAATTATTGCGACATGTAACAATAATCTGAGAGATGAGCTGTGATTGCAGTGGATTCCTCAGGACAGAAGCAGGATTTTTAAGTGGCTTGTTTTTTCCCTAATGCCTGTGAGCCTTGCTGGTTTCCTGTATTGCAGGGTCTCGTGGTGGGTTTTTGGAGTGTCTGGGGGCACACTGTGTTTGTGTTTAGTGTTTTGACTGACTTGTGATTTGATCGCCCTAACTTACTAAATCCCTCTACATTATGAATTCCCATTGTGAAAGGTATGGAAAATCATACTTAATTGCTTCTAAGCAGGGCAGATAAAAATATGATAAAAAGATGATTCAGTGATATGAAGGTGAAATATAAAAAAATATGTGAAATGCAGATTGATGCTATTCCCAGCGTGCATGCTACTGTTTTTTGGTTGTTTTTTTTCCCTATTTAAGTTTACTTATAAGATGAAACTGTACCTGAGAAAAGGAGTAGCTTCATACTGCCATTTAAGCTGTAAGTCTAGTGTCTGATTTTAGTGGAAGGTGCAGTCTTCTGTCTTGATTTCCAGAGTGCTTCCATGGTATATCTGAATTGCTGAACCTGAAGTTAACTTACCCAGAGCTCTTGGCCACCATGGCCAGGCTATTTGGTGCCTCAGCCTGAGCCAGTCTGATTAGATTGAGTTACCTTCTCCATACATGGCACTCTGCAGTAGGCAGGCACAGACTTCAGACACAGCCAGATTGCCCCAGTTCCACTCATATCCACACACCCACGGGCTGGCTGTACCTCTGTAGATGGAGATCTGCATTTCTGTGATGTGTATGCTGTCTGAACCTCACCCTCAGCATTTCTGAGCAAAACCAGATGCTTTGCAAAGCAAAAGGCACCACGAGGCCGCCAAAAGGTGTATTTGTTTGTATTCAGAGTAAGGTGTCTGAATGGGGCTTGTTCTGGGTTCCCTTGGTACAGCTCCCTGCAGGATGAACCCCAGGTCAGAGCAGGGATACACAGCTCTGCTGCTTGTAAACATGACACGTGCACCCAGTGACACAGAGTAGAAGGAAATAGTCATTGTGCAATCTGCAGGCAGCATAATCACTGTGATCACAGTAACATGATGACTTGTTTAATTTATTTTAAGGCTGACACGCTTGCCTTGTTTTGCTGTGTGAGCCAATGATGTTTTATCATCTCATGTGAACCCTGGGAGAACCAGGCAGTGATCTTTTTTTAAATCCAAGTGTGTCAAATGCATAACTCTGAATATAACACTGAGCTGCTTTACCCTGACTTGAGCTCTCGAGCAGACAGACGAGCAAGTCTCATGTTCAGTCAATGTAGAATCTATTTAGTGTAATCTCCTTGCTGAGAACTTCCACTGAGAGCACTTTCTGAGGAAGAGGCTCAAAGCTTTATGAAGTGTAACAATAACCTGGGACAGCTTGGCCTGGAAATGTCTTTCTAACCCCCACATCTTTTTGTCAGCTACTTTATGCACTGGAAAGTGAAACCACAAATTCATCTTACACTGATGGAACAGTCATAAAGTGGTTATGACTGTGGCCCTTTGCTTGCAAATTGACCACATGTTTAACCAAGAGGACAAAGTCTCATGAACTGTCCTGCACAAGGAGATTCAGTGCCACTCTAAAGGCATGAAGTTCCTTGGCATCCACAGGCACAGACCCAATGGTCTGCTCGGTTGTGCTGTTCAGCTGGTACAGATGGAATGTTTGTATCAGCCCATAATGGTTTTTTTCTGCTCTGAAAGAAGCACAGAAGAAGTAAACAGTGTGAGTCCTCCGGTAGGTGTCTGAGCAATTTAAGCTGCAAAGTGACACCACCAATATCAGAAGATCATTAATAGGTTGCAAGGAAGGGTGTTGACCCTCTATTAAGTTTTTCATCCTTCCTGCATTACACAAGAGGTTAACAAGTTACTACACCCAGTCCAAGGCACTATTAGGAGCCATGTTCCACATGACAGTGTCTCTGGGAGGAAGAAGGACAGATTAATGTGACGAAGGAAGGAAAGTCAGGTCAGTGAGCCTAAGAAAGTCTGAACATTTCTCATGTACTCAACCATACCCTGGCAAGCCTGAATAAATGGAAACTTTCCAGGACACCTAAGACAACAGAATGCAGGACTTCTGGGTTTTGTTTTTTAACTCATTAGTACTGAGATACATATACTAAAATCTAGGCATTGCAAGTAATATGGATTAAGAAATGAAGGGCAGTAAGACATACCTAGTTGATTTTTATGAGATACAGACATGTTTTAGTTCAGAACTTCTGTAAAACAAGGTATGATCTTTGCAGCCAGAATGGTCTGAAATTTCCCAAGCTGTAATCCAGACAGTGCCATCACAGCTTCAAGATTAAAACCTACATCTTTGAACTGTAAGCAGCTTTCTCTTCTCACTACAAAGAATTATGGGTGATTCCAAGAATTTAGGAGACTGATACACACTTATTTCCCTATCCTAGTGATTTTCTGTATGTGCCATCTTTAGTTGTTCTACTTAATAAAAATAAGCCATCCCGATTCAGAGCACATATTTTGGTATTAATATATGAAACAGTAATTTAAGTTGCATGTATGGGAGGTAGGCAGACTGCAGGAGTGATGCAGACATAAAAAGTAGGGTAGTAAGATGACTCCTGTCATACATGTCACAGGCATTTAGCCTCTTCCAGTCCTCACACTGTCCAGCAAACTGGTTTTGGGGATCATGTTCACACAACCCAGCCAGTATTACTGTTCTCATACCTAAGCAGCAAATTGTAACCTCCACGCCCACGCCTGGCTATCAGCATCAATACAGTGGGGCAGGCTAAAGGAAAACATGCATTAACCACGTCTGTATATAACAGTTCTGGTTTTAAATTGGTTCATTCTAGCTCATATTTTATCTCATTTCACAACTCTGTAGAGCGGGAGCTGTGTCTTATGTTTCTGGGATGCTGAACAGGACACCGAGCAGGCCTGGGGTCTTCGGTTGGAGTTACCACACCAGTACTGATCACTGAGTGTTCCTGTGTGCCACTGCAGGACAGGACAGCCCAGAAGAAGATACCACTTCCCTTTTCAGAGAGGCAAAGGAGGGATGCAGCTCTCAGCAGCAGACTTTTTCACCAAAAACTCTTTGGAGCTTTTCTGACTCCAATACTTAACAACTCCTGGTTTCCCTACTTTTTTAAGTGAGTAGGTCGGCTGCCATTCACAGAGACCAATTACCATTTTAAGAGCAGCTTTTTGGCACCAGAAATATTTATATGGAAAACAGCCTGTCATGGTTTAACCCAAGCCAGCAGCTGAGTACCATGCAGCTGCTCACACACATCCAGTTGGATGGGGAAAGAAGGAAAACGAGTTCTGCCCCTTTATAGCTTGATGGCATTAGGGTACACTGTGCACAGGTATCTCCTAGAGCCTTACACTCCTGTGGGTCTGATGTGCCAGGACATCTGATCCACACAGTCCTGTAAACTCAGCTGTCCCTCCCCTCCACCTGTCAGGAGGCAGGGCCCCTCCAGTACTGGTTTTAGGATTCTCCACTTCTTGTAAAAACAGATCAGAATTTTTTTCCATAGGATCAGAGGAGTAAGATTAGCCCTTCCTCTCTGTCTTGGAACTGCCCACTGGACAGTGGAGCAGCAACTTTCCTGGAAGAACCTCCATTTGTGATTGTTTTTCTCTGTTTCACAATTAGCAATTTTATCATATCATAAGCCAGTGTTACAAAGTACAACAGAATCAACCTTAGCTCAGCCCCCAGAGGTGATAAACAGCACAAAGGGAACACACACACCAAGTGAGGCACTGCATGATGCAAACCTGAGAACAAGAGCAACACCTCTTGAGAACAAACAAATCAACATTGTGTCCAATGACTATTAAATTAATATAATGAATGCTTGTAATAAATTTGTTTTACACGCTCTGGTCAGATCTGTCGTTATCTCCACCCTTTGTGCCCCACACTGGGTGCCAAAAAGAATTGTCATAGTTTAACTCCAGCCAGCAACAAGGTCCCCTCTGTATCATGCAGCTGCTTGTTCACCACCCACCACCTCCCGCTGGGATGGGGAGGAGAATGGGAAAAAGAGCAGTTTAATAATTGAAATAAAATTGAATAAATAATACAACAACTCTAATGAAAAGCAAGACAACAAAAAGAGCACAAGAAATAAAACTCAAGACAGACAAGTGATGTTCAGTACAGGTGTTCAGTCCCCACTGACTGATGCCCAGCCCATCCCCAAGCAGCAACTGGTGGCTCCTGGACAACTTTTCCCAGTTATACACTGGGCACGGTGTTCTGTGGCATGGAATATCCCTTTGGCTAGTTTGGGTCAGCTGTCCTGGCTGTGCTCCCTCCCAGCTCCTCGTACACCTGCTCGCTGGCACAGCATGGGAAACTGAGAAGTCCTTGCCTTAGACTAAGCACTACTCAGCAACAACTAAAACAGCAGTTTGTTACCAACATTATTCTCACACTGAATCCAAAACACAGCACTGTACCAGCAACCAGGAAGAAGGTTAACTCCCAGCTGAAACCAGGACACAGATTAAAGCTAAAATCCTGCTATCACAATTTTAAAACCCAGCAGGACTCCAGACATGTTTTACTTAGTTATTGCTCCTATAATAAAACATACGGAGTATTCAACCAGATAACCTATGTTGATTATACAATGAATCCATGTTAAAATAAACTGGTTTTAAGATAACATTAAACAGTAAACACAATCTACACAGCACTGTGCAGCGTTTCACAAACAGAACACAGACAAATAACTCCTGATCTGACTGAAAAGGAGGATTATCAACAGAAACTAATATACCTGTGTTAGTGCACTGGTTGACATGTCCTTTGAAATAGTACAGCTTGTTTTAGTAAAAGAGTTGTATTCCCAGATCAACTGATGTTTTTCCCTACCATTGACTAAATTTTAAAGGTCCTGCCAAAAAACACTCCAATTCATTTTTTACTCAGCATGAAGACAGAAGCAAAGATTTTCTAGTAAATACCTAGTACAACCATTACAACAAGGGATACAATATACATTGGAAGCTTTATAACTTTGGTATTGATATTTGCTGTATAAAAGTTTAAAAAAAACAACCTACAAGTAGAAATTGCCTACAACTGGAATTACAACTTTACCAACAAGCATTAAAAATTATTTATAAATCACTTTGTTCACAAATTTTGCAGTGTTTTGGTTGCCATCAACCTCATCAAATAAGAGGAAACACAGGTAAGTATCTACCAAGTGACTTACCTGAAGCCACCATGAATCAGTGGCTGAAATAAGAACACAGTCCTGCCCTCCTGCTTTCCACTCCCTGTGTCCTAATCATTGATCCAGCATGGATTCAGGCTCCAGACCACAGATCTTCCATGAGTATAAGCCACAGTAATTGGCAGCAGCTGGAGAGTGCAAGAGAGACGGAGATCCCACAGGGGATAACTGAGGTTTACTAAAGGCTCTCATTTTGGTCTGGTAACATTCACACTGCTGGGCAGGATGATCCACACCTGATCCCCCAGGCTGACCAGCAGGCTCATGGAGAGTGTTACTCTCTGATTCTGTCTCACAGAAGGCCAAGTCTGAACACCAACACCCTTGTTCTTTCCTGGGGCCTATCAACTGGGGCTGAACTACGTGTTCTGTGACCCGGCCCCCCTCTCCCATGGCAGCAAGAGAAAATCATTACAACTAGAATCAGTTCAGATTCATTGTTAGTGGAACACCCATGACTGTTTTTTCATAACTGCAGCACCATTTGAAAAGGTATATTGATAACAAATTACAGGCAGAGATGACCCTTTTAGCTCGAATACTAAAATACTGATTTTAAACAATAACTTTTTTTTCTTTCTTAATCTACCACTAAGTGTTCTAGAGACAACAGTTTAGTTACAGCTATTACTATCATGTGCTTCTTAGCAATGCACATTTATAACACAAAAATTTATTTGTAATAAACCAAGGATTTCTAAATATTTTGTAAATTCTGTGTTAGAGGAAAAACCTGACTTTAGTAATTCTTTGAGCATCTCTAAATTCAATTAAATCACATTGCAGTAAAACATTTAAAGTGTGCAAACTATGACAGTGATTTCTGCAAGAGCTTTTATTCTGAAATAAACACAACCATCATTATTTGAAAAATCAATCTCAGTAGAAACCTAGAGAGATAAAAACTTAACAGCTAATTTTCAGAAGTGAGGGAAAATGAAAACTGGTAACATTATTTGTCTCCCTTCGTTCCTAAGGGAGGACATTTTGTCAGCTTCCAGGGAACATGTTCTTGTTTCACTGGCTGTGTGCACAAGCTGTGCAGCCTCAGCGGGCAGAGAACCTCATGCTGTGAGCTTCGGTGTTTTGGTACAGATTCAGTGTAGAAACACAGCCCTGTCACGTAGTGAGCAAAAAATAAATGCCAGGCTGCACAGGCTCATGTTTCTATAGGTAGATCCAATTTCTAGATAAAACAAGCCACTAACCTTACCTGCAGTGAAGCCCATCACAACTGTCTGGATTTCTGCCTCCCAAATGTGATCTGCAGACTGTGGTCATCATCAGATGATGCTACAGAAACAGCTGCTTAAAACCCTCTAAAGTAATGCATGGACAGAAACAACCAAGGAAGGAACAAAACGGAGAAAAACAAAAACAAACATTCAAAGTTAAGCTTAATTTTTATTTGGCATAAATAAAAATCACCGTGGCAATACTCTACAAAATGATCACTGGAATTTTTTGTTAGGTGGCCACAGGATTACAAGGAACATTGAAAAGTATTACAGTATGCTTTTAATATACAGTCCATCCAGAGTCAATTCTTTTTTATAATGCTTTTCTGCATTGCAGGCAAGGCTGAACAATTATAGAAGCAGATCAGAGAACTCCCCATGATGCTGTATATTGATTCAGAAATGAGATTTCAGGTAAGTGTGAGGATCCATTTGCACAGATCTGACTACAAGTTTGGGATCACTGCAGCATCTGATGTGTTCCTTTCTGCAGTATAGACCATATTATTGAATTAAATTAGCATATCAAAACTTCACATGACAACCAGAACATCACATTAACTGAAAGGTAAAAATATATCCAAAGTTTGCAACAATTAAAACATATTTTTCTTTCCCTTTTCCTGTTTCTCTGAGGGGCTTTTAAATAAGTTAAAATAAATCTATAGCAAATGATCAGTATGCTTAGTCCAAGTATTTTCTTTGCATATCAAAAAACCTAACAATTTTCCCTTCTGAAACCCTGCAGATACAAAAAAAAAAAAAATCTATTATTCATAGTAATATTTCATGTTATTACAAAGACTTTGATGTACTTCATTCCAGCCAATAAGTAACATAGAAGAACATGAACAATATGAGAACAGTAATGAGGATTTTGAAGTCAGTGTTTTATTTTGGCACACTTTCCAAGTAATAAATAAGCTTATCTTTCTATGTTACTACTTCATATTTAAAGTTCAAATTATATTTTTAGAAACCAACTTATGTTCCAACTTCGATACGTGTAGCAAATGTATTTGAAAAATGCATTGTATCAGATCTTTTGAGGTATATTAAAATAATTTTTGAAATGCAAATTTTCACTACTCATTGAGGTAAATTGGAAAAAAAGATGTAATAGAAATGACCAGGAAGGATTCAGGGCTAAGGAACAATCCTGAGTTCCCTATTAAGGCAAAAACATAAGCCACAATCAGGGATTTTGCCAGAAAATGAATTCATAAAACAATTGTCTTCCTTCAGATTTCCTTCAAATCAGTCTTCTCAAATCTCAGGGAAAAAGGCAGCTGTGAATGAAGAAGCAGAAGAACCCAACCTGTCTGTCCCTTACAGTCCTTACTAACCTCTCCCATCCTTTGAGAGTTCCACATCTTTTTCCACTCCAGTGCCTTTCCACAGGCAAATGTAACCACTGAACAACAATCACACAGGTCCACGTGTTATAAATACAATTACAGGATAGTGATACCCAAATTCCACTGAAGTCAGCATAATTTACAGTCAACCTATGCAGGAAGTGCAGAGGAAACCAATTCCCCAATCTCTCATACAAAACAGTTTGCTGAAAATATAAAGAAGTCTTCTCCTGGGAGAAAATCACTAAAGTAGAAAAAATGAAATGGACCTTCCTTGAATTTTATTTTGCCTCGGCTTCTTCATCCATGAATTCCACCAGTGGAGCGTGTCTGTTGGCCTGAGCACCTTCCTGGAAATTAACCTTTTTTATCACTCCTGCCTTTGGAGCCCGTATGGTGTGCTGCACAAAACAGAGCAAGAGTGAACCAGCAGGGAACCTGGTTTTTTTCCTTCTCTCTCTCTCCAGCAAATGCTAATATTACTCTTTGGTGCAATTAGAACTGAAAAACATTGAATTCCTTCCTCTGACACATTTATTTATTTATTTATTTATTTATTTAAAACCTTCTTTTAAAACATTATACTAGTCCATTTTCAAGTTTTCTCATGAATATTTGATAAGTATACTGGGGACAAAAAATGCTATATAATGTTATATTATGAAGTATGAACAGCTGAATGTTATTTTACTTCACTAACAGTTTTTGTTATTGTAATAAATACCAAGCAGAAATAATACAGTTTTAATCCAAAATGTTAATCATATAGCAGATTTGTTCCCTTAAGAGGAATCTGCAGATTTACTAAAGATATTTTTGTTTTCTGGCCAGGAGGGGTCTTTACTGAGCAGATATTTGGCAAAATCCAGATGAAATACAAATACAGCTACTAATGACAGTAAAACAGCATGTTTACATACCAACCCCAAACTGGTTTGCTTGTTATTGTACCAAGTTAGTTTTCCATTGTAGCTTTGTTTCTTGGTATTTTTCTACATAGGGTTAGTCTAGTATCAAAACATTTAATACCAGATAGTAAATCCT